GATTTACTCTGTGGATCTAGGAACTTTATATTTGACTTATATATACTCACTTCAAATTCTCCAATGATTTTTTTTTTCTCCAGAAGTTGTCCTTGCAGAAAGCTGAGGCAGTTTTCCCACATTCCAAATTCTCCAGAGGTCGATTCTCTATTTGAGTAGTTAGGATGAAACCCATTTCCCTGGAGAATAGCTGAATACCCTAGGGAATCTCAGTATCAGATGTTCTTAGTAGTAGTAGGCATTCCAGAAATGTAAGATCTTGGGCTTTGTTTCATTGCAGAAAAGCTACATCTATTTCTTCAGAGCAATACCTAATAATTTGCTAAATGCAGAACAGTTTACAACCTTGTTTCTGAGAGGTTCAAACGTACTATTTGATATTTTTACCTAAAGCGTCTTTTGCTTGGGTTGCTCACCCAACTTTATTCTTAATAGGACATTGTATAATATGGAAAATTCTCCAGAGAGATTGAAGAGGCAGTAGAAAATAGACAAAGCTCCCTGAGCATTGTTTTATCTATTTTCCTAAGCTTAATGTTCAGGAGATTAAAGTACTTCATTAATTTACAGAATCTTTTTTTCCTGAAAAGATGATTCCACTGTATGTATTAGGGAAGGATGTGTAGTCTTCTATATAATCAATTCTCAATTATCCACATGTGGATTATCTGTGGCAAGTTTTTAATCTGAGGCTGACATTCTCAGGGAATGCCAACAAATTTTCACAGTAGCTTAAGCAAAACATAATTAGGAAGACAAATCTCTCCATCCCCTCCCCCTCCCCATTTCCCACCAAACAGTGCAGTGCTTTCTGAAGTCAAATATAAATGACCTTTCCATCATCAGCTATTTTGGATTTTGGGCACTACAGCTCCTGTCCATTAATTGTGCGGGCCGTTAATTGATGGTATAATAATGATAACAACAATGAGAACAACAAAATATTACCACCACTTTGCATTTATAACAGTGCTTTCCTTCCAAAGAACTAAAGGTGTTTTACATCCACAATCTCATTTGTCTTTACAACATCCCTTTGAGGGATAGACTGGCAGGCAGAGTAATTATCAGGATTGCTTTTCTTTATTTTGTAAAAGACTGGTCAAATATTTTCATTTTGTAATCCCCGGTCTCTCAGATTTTTCAAAAATAATGGCTAGCGGTTCAGTAAGTTCATTAACTAATTCCCTAAAGGCCTTAGCGGGCATATCATCTGGACTTGCTGATTTGCATATGCGCAATGTTTGCAAGTATTCCCTTACCTGGTCTATCTCAGCATCTAAATTTAAAGGTCTTCATTACTTCCTAATTATCTATGCTCCTTTCCTTTATTTTTCTTGTTAAAGACCAATTTTAAAAAGCCGTTCTACTCTCTGCCATTCAGAGTCATCATTAATTTCTCTCCCCTCCTCATTTATTAGTTGGGGCTACTTTGTTGCCAATGTTTCTTTTTCCCTAGACTCCCTTTTATTTCCTTTAACCTCTTTGGCACTGCTAACTCATTTTTTTTCCCTGTGGCTTTTATCCTTTCTTGACAAGCCATAGAAAGAGTTTTTAGATTCCATCTTCTTACTCTCCTTGTCCTTTCTCTATGTCCACAGTAGGCTCTTTTTTTTTTAACCTTTAGATCTTTTCAGTATGCTTTGTCAAGCATCTTTTTGGTCTTTGCATTTTAAAAAAAATCCAGGGCATTGTAGGCCATTGAGACTCAACTAGAGGGCTGAAAACTTTGTGCCCTTTCTCACTGTGTGGTCCAGGTTTCTTAATTGCATTTGGACTAGATTTCTAAACATTTCTGTACTTGTACATAGGATGTGCAAGTTCCTTAATGTTTTTGAATTCAAAGACTGGGTCATATCATCAGGGCAGCAGCATCTGATAGTCAACAGCCTCAAAGGCCATTGAGAGGTGCCAGAGAATTGGCTGTTGTTCATGCCTTGGGCAGTGCATTTGACGTTTCTGAGTACCGTATCAGTACAGAAAAAGAATCCGTAATACCACTGGTACCCCAGGCTGTTGGCACTGAGAATTGATTTCCTAGGTAGAGACCATACCTGTCATGATAGGTAGTATGCCGTTTTGGAAGGTGAGACTGACAACTAGCACCTTTGTAAAATTCTCAACAACTTCTTTCTAGCTTAGATGGTCAAAGGCATGAGAATAAAAATTAGGATTTAGACTGGCAACATGATCTCATTTACTTGTGATATTCTTCCATGTGGGCTTAATTTTTAATGGTTGCCTTATTATTTTCCTCTATGGTCATTTCATTTTTATACACACATATATACTTGCATGTATATACACACATGTGTACACATGTATATAGACACACATTTATGCAATGCTTTTGAGTATTGTATGTGTATATACGTACATATACACACACATATAAGTATATACATGTATATATATATACACATATTTGTGTGTATGTGAGTATATATATATATATATATGTATTTATACAGACACACGTACAAGTTGTTTTGTGTTATGGTCATTTGCCTTTGCAATATATCTTTGAGGGATAGACTGGCAGGCAGAGTAATTATCAGGATTGCTTTTCTTTATTTTGTATAAGAGTAATTAAATATTTTCATTTTGTAATCCCTCAGATTTTTCAAAATGGGGATATACTGTTAAATATAAATATCTAATCCTAGGTAGGTTCTCTTTTAATACCCAGCATCCTTTTTCTTTCATGGTTCCCCATATTCTCTAACTCCCTAAGTCACTCATCCTGGTTGGTATATGCTCAGGAAATACAAACTAATTTTCATATTAGCCTAAGGAAAACATAATTAGGAAGATTAATCTGCTGCAAAATAATCACATTATGCATCCTCTAAACTAAATATGAAATGCTTTTAGATTATCTGCAGTTCGGGATTATTTGCATCATTGCTTTCCTTCAATAGTGTGGACAATTGAGAATTCACCGAATTTTGATAAAATGGAATGAGCCCAGGAAAGCAACTTGTAATTAAACTGAATTATCACCAGGTGACACTACTGCGCCACAGAAATGTAGTGGCCTGAGCCCTTATCTACCAGAGAAATCCAGGGCTCTGGTGGGAGGAGGTGAATCTTGCAATTTTTGTTGGTGGTTGTGGTCTATAGGGTTGCAATCCAGTCCAGTTTGTGGAAGAGTAACTCCAGAGCCCATGATTCCAATTTAGGGAAGAGTATATTATATTCCTAGCGATGGAGGATGGGAAATGCTCTTAAGAGCACTGAACTGAGTCAAGGGTTAACAGAGCATTTCTACAACTGCTACAGAAACTCACTCTTGCAGCCTCGAGCATGCTTGCTCACTCTTTGGGTTGCACAGAGCAACAGGAAGTCGGGCTAAATTCCAGCCCAGGAGAAATTCATCTGGTAGGCTACTGAACTTTATTGCACAAAATCCTGTAATACATATATACGTTTACATGATGATCACCTACCTGAGCTGGGATTTTGTAAACACCAATGATATAAGATCCTGTGTTTGGTGTCGTTTAAAATGATGATAACACTGGCCTTTCTGTAGTCATATTTCTGCTTTCAAATGTTGAGTCTTTTGCACTGTATCCCCACCCTCTTTAACATGTGTGAGGAGCAGTTTGCAAGCATAACACCTGCTCAGTAGACAGAGCTGTTGAGTGGTATGCTGAAATTTAACCCTGCAATCCGCCCCTCTTATGATCAGTTGCACGTGTGATTTCTATGTCTATAATATTCCTTTCTTGGAATAGCTGGGCTGGCCAGTTGGTTAACCTGTAATTGCAAGAAATAATTACTTAGTGATGTATATGCATATACACACATCTGTACGTGTGCGTTTATCTATAGCTATCTATCTGTCTTTCTGTCTGTCTATCTATCTGTCTGTCTGTCCGCCCATCCGTCCTTCCATCTATCTATCTATCTATCTATCTATCTATCTATCTATCTATCTATCTATCTATCTATCTAATCTATCTGTCTGTCTGTCTATCTGTCTATCTGTCTGTCTGTCTGTCTGTCTGTCCGTCTGTCTATCTATCCATCCGTCCATCTATCCATCCGTCTATCTGTCTGCCTATCCGTCTATCTATCCGTCTGTCTATCCGTCTATCTATCCGTCCGTCTATCCATCCATCCATCCATCCATCCATCCATCCATCCATCCATCCATCCATCCATCCATATCTATCTATCTATCTATCTATCTATCTATCTATCTATGATTATTTGGTTGCACAGAAAATAGGCCCAAATGACCAAGAATGAATTCATGTCCCCATCAGGAGTTCCAAGATCCTGACCATGAGTGCCAGCTTTATTTTTCTTTCACGTTCTTCAGCTCCTTTGTTGTACTCCACAGAATAGAAGCTTTCCCTATTTCACACCCATCCTCCCTCTTCTGTTAACAGGGAGTGTCTAGTACAGCGTCAAACACTTGGGTGGGCAAATAAATATTTCAGATGAGCTAGAAAACCATAATGCGTCAAGTTGGGGTTGTCTGTATGGTTCCAATTAGATAACTGACTAATCTATACTTAAAAAAAATATCCTATGAATTCTAGAAGCCAGAGGGGCCCAGGGTGGTTTCTCCCTCAGAGAAAACTTCTGTAGGGTCCTATGTACGGCATTTCTCATCTGAGAACCTCGTGACAATTGTATGTGCACCCTGAGTTTTAGTCCTTTGGATAGATCGCTGAAGGGCATGATTGTGGCGCCCCTCTTGCATGAATCACATTCAGGAAGACAGACCTTCAATCACTTTCTAAGAGCCTACATTATAGCTATAGCTTACCTGAGAGAACAACTTTTCATTTATCTGTGTTTCAGCCCTACTTGGAAGGGACCAATGGCTGGAATGCTAGTGATCCCCAAAGTGCTTAGTAGCCTAGCTGGGAGGTTGTACAAATTACCTCATGTATACTTCTCCCTCACTGCTGAGAAGCCATCAGATCATAGGTGCAGAGAAGGGACCTCAGGGGCTATTCTAATACAGTCTCCATATTTTACAGATGAGCAAACTGAGCCTTAAGGAAACTAAATGACTCCTCCCTACCTGTTCGGGGTATTGCCACCATTCTGAGACTCAGCAGATCCTCATGTGAAAAGCTGAAATGGGAAACATGTACCTCAGAACTGAACAGAACTAAAATTGTGACCTTCAGCTTCTCAGTCAGGTAAGACCCTCAGTCCTCAGACTCCTTTCCCACTTTGCACACTCATTTACATCAGGCACGACACCAACTTGTCTCCTGCCTAAGAGCAAAACCTCTCCTCCCATGTGGAGTTTTTGTTTTGTTGAAATAGTTATGTGAAAATACAATGTTCCCTTGCCTTCTGCAGATGAATGATGCTACATTTTCACCTCCTTTTTTCTACTCTCTCTCTCTGAAGGTCTTTCCTTCCTTCCTTCCTTCCTTCCTTCCTTCCTTCCTTCCTTCCTTCCTTCCTTCCTTCCTTCCTTCCTTCCTTCCTTCCTTCCTTCCTTCCTTCCTTCCTTTTTCTTTTTCTTTCTTTCTTTCTTTCTTTCTTTCTTTCTTTCTTTCTTTCTTTCTTTCTTTCTTTCTTTCTTTCTTTCTTTCTTTCTTTCATAAATAAATATTTTAACTGGAAATTTCCAAGCACATGACAGGCCCTAGAATGTGAACTTGACTGTACTGTAATAGAAATCATCAGTTGCCATGGCGACTTGTTCCAAGAGCAGATTGCACAGTCACATGAGCAGAGTGCTCAGTAATACTAACACATCAGAGAGCGAGCCACTTAACCTCAATCGCTTCCAGCCATTGTGCAGAATGCAATTGAATTTATTCCTAATTTCTGCCAGTGTTAAGGAACAGAATTTCCCTGCAGATTTTAATCTTATTCAGGCAGTCACAGTCCGTGCTCAGGCTCTGTGTTCAGCACCGACACTGGCCCAAGTCACTGGCCCGCTTTAGAGCCCTCTTCTGTACTTTATTGTTCTTACTCTTCATAATAACTTCTCTCATCCCCCAACACCCTACCCTGCTTTGCCCTGGGGTGTCCTTCTTCACCTAGAATGGCTACCCAGAAGTCTAGTTTTCATTATAACAATGCTAATCAAACAACAACAGATACCCCACTTTCAACACGATCACAGACTGAATTCTTAGAACCTTCACCTAAGCTGAGATATAACTGAAAGTATGAGTTCTGGGCTGGAAGGTGGGATGTCAGAATGAGCATTTCTCTAATAACACAAGACCCAGTTTGTTAGTCAACTGCTTAGTGAATTCTGCTATCAAAATGTCTACTCTTCATCTTCTGATCCCCCTGAGCCTGCCAGTGTTCCAGGAGGTGTAGCCATGATCTCTGAACACTCATTGTAGGAGCTTATCAGCTCTTATGATGGCTGATAAATCAGGAACTCTCATATGAACGGTCTCAAGTCAGCAGCTTCATCGATCTCTCCTGCCCCTTTTTAAGTTATTTGTCTTATTCAGTTCCAAAGATGATATCGGAAATGCCAAATGAGTCTTTGTTTTCTGGGCTCTTATTCTTCCTAAGCTGGGCTGCTTGAGGGAAGCAGGAGGCACTGTTTATGTGGCCTGGCCTTTTGTTTTCGTTCCAAGGTCACCTCTCCTCTTCTGTTCAGGTGCTGTGAGCAGTCTGCCTGTGTGTGCACTGGGAGGCAGGAGACAGACACCTCGCTTGCTGACAAGTCTTTGCACAGATGATACCTATGTAGTGACCTCCCCCACCCCACCTTGTGAATAGCAGTTGCAAAATACCCAAGGTCTGCTTTAGTATCTAAATGGACCTAAGGCAGGGTGCAGATGTCAGAGTACCTAAATCAAGGAAAAGCAAAAGAAATCTTTAATAATAAACCTTTATTCATTTACCAGACCTGTGATTTCATCAGTATAGAAACTTCCTCTACTGATGCAGGTGGGTTAGTATCTTTTCTGAAATGTATAGTCTTATAGAATTGCTTGGGGGAAGTGAGAGATTTAAATGACTTGCCCAGGGTCATAAAACTAGTCAGAATCTGGACTTGAACTCTGGTCTTTCTGCCTCTGAAGCCAGCTCCCTATCCAGTACAAAAAGCTGCCTCTCAAATACAGAGGGTATTTGGTAGAAAACCTTCCCTTAAGAGACAGATTCTGCTAAGAGGTCAGGAGTCTGATAAAAAGACACGCTAATCCCCCAAAGCCAATGCGGTCTAAAACTTCACTACGAGATGCATCGTGGCTTTCAGAATGCGGGAGGTGGCTGTACTCTGCCCTGGGCAAACTACATCTCGAGTTCAGTGTTCACTTCTGGGGGCCCGATAAGCAAGGACACCGGGGGTCATATTTTGGGAAGGACACGGACAAGATGAAGAATTGTCAGAGCAGGACAACCAGGGTCAATTGAAGGAACTGGGGATTTTTTGACCAAGAGAAGATTTAAGGGGAGCAAGAGAACAGTTTGAAAGTATTTGAAGGGGGGGCAGCTAGGTGGCACAGTGAATAGAGCACCAGCCCTGGAGTCAGGAGGACCTGAGTTCAAATCTGACCTTAGACACTTGATACTTACTAGCTGTGTGACCCTAGGCAAGTCACTTAACCCCATTGCCTAGCAAAAAACAAAAACAAAAACACAAACCCCTCCAAAAAAAAAAAGTATTTCAAGGGCTGCTATGTTGGAAGAGGGATTCATTTTGTTCATCTAGAATACCCTAGAAGGTAAGACTAGAAGCATGGGTAGAAACTGTGGAGGTTTAAAAAAACCCAACCAGAATGTCCTAATGCTTTTTTCCTCATCTGTATATTGAGGAAGTTGGGTGGGGTGATCACTAAGGTCCCTTCTAGATCTAGAAACCTATAAGTATGAGGACAAAGAAATGGGATGGGCCACCTTGGGAAGTGGGAGGTTCCCCTTCAGAGGTCTTCCAGCAGGTGACAACTTGTTAGGGACATTGTAGAGGAGATTTCTGGGGCAAGGATGGGCTGAACTGGAAGGCACTGCTTGAGACTCAGATATTCTCTGCTGTCATTTCACCCTTCTCTAATTTTATATAGCTGTATCAGTTCATATGGAAAGGTAAGGGAGTGCAGGAAGGCCGAATGAAATGAGGAAGATGCAAACTGGTGATGCTGGGGTGAAGGGTGGTGGGAGCAGAGATTCATGCAAGGAACTTGGCAGTGATGGAGATCCTTTCGTTGACTGTAAAAAATCACATAGGAAACGAAAAGCAAGGCAGCAGTGGATTTTCTCTCAGCAACAAGACCTTTGAAAGGAAAAATAGAAAAATATACACCAATGTGCTGGTAAGGCATGTGGATTGGATTACCCATTCTGGTTTCTCTGAGACCTTAGGAACTCCCTGCTAATCAGACTCATCACCACATCTGCCTTTCCAGACAGGAGGAGTGTATTAATATAAAGCCCATCACCCAGCCCCTTTCAGGGAAGGCTCATGATTATAAGTTTCACTCTGATTAGGATGAGGAAGGGGTTGCTCTCCAGACTGTCAAATTATATTTCCCTGGCTGGAGGTGAATATGTTTTCTAATCAAAATTGGTTTGATTTATACTGGAGTGTCATTTCCAGGCTTACTAGTCTAAAATACTTGCTGACCCTATTGCTTGAGTCATCCAGGTAATTAGTGTCCTGGAAAGTATACAGAGAATAGTCTCTCTCTGGGAAATGGCCCTTTAGATGGGCAGGGGCATTTGTGAGCCGTTTTCCACCCAGAAGAACACTGCTCGGAGACCATTAATCCCCCTGGCCCTGGGATGCAGGAAGAAGTGGAGGGAATATAAGACAAAAACCATTTCGCTCTTTAAGGCTTACTGAGCAAGAAAAAGAGGATCCTTCAGTTTCACGCCAACAACTGCAATGTCCACCTTCATATGAGTACTAAAATAATTCAGCAATCTAATCCTTACTGAATCCCTGAAATCTACCTAGGATTTCAAAGCCTTTAAAGTGCTGTCACATATATCATGTCATTGGAACATCTAAACAATCCCATTAGGCAGAACAGATATTATTCATCCCATTTTAATGGGAGGGAATTGAAATCCAATTGTTCAATACTAGGCAGCTGTTTGGTAACAGATTTGGGACTAGAATATACCTTAGGTCCCTAGATACCTAGGCCAGTACTTTTCCCACTAGACTAGGTGCAAAACTGCTAAATACTGACTTAGAAAATCACAAGTTCACACTATCTATGTTGCATTGTATTTTTTATTTATTTTGTTAAACACTCCTCAAATGCATTTTAATCTGGTTCCCTGTGTCATGAATTTGACACCTCTGCACTGGACAATAAGTGCATCTTCCTTTATTGTTTTCTGTTTTCTTTGTTGGCTCATTATCCATTTCCCAGCCCTTATGCTTGGGTATACCCCAGAGCTCTGTCCTGGACCATTTCCTCTTCTTTCTCCACACTTTCTCTCTTGGAGATCTTTCATCCATTTTCACACACATCCTCTCTGTGCAGAGATTTCCCTTACCTATCTATTGAGCTCTCTTCTCTCCTGAGTTCCAATCCTGAAAGCCCAGCTACTTATAGGAAGGACATAGCCAACTGGATGTCCCACAGACATCTCAGACTGAACATTTCCAAAGAAGAATTCGTCATCTTTTACTTTCAGAATTCATTGGGTCTTCTACTTTACAGCTTCCATTTTGCATTCTAAGATTGTGTTTATGTGAGATCAAACAAATTTTGGCAGACAATAAGCATGTGAAGATGACCATATACGATGATATCTTTATGTGACCACTGGGTTCCACCAACATTTTTTTTGATATGTGCTCTCTAACATTGTGCCAAATTCAGAGCTAGCCTCAATGAATCACTTGGATTTAGAGTCACATATGAAATACTCCATGATTGGCCATCAATGAAGCAGGCTCTTTCTCTGCCTTTACTGCTAATTCCTTCTCTAGTTCTACAAAGACTAATAATAAAGGTAGAAAAAAGATATTTTTGGCTAAATGACACATTGCAATTTGAAACTGGTTGCTTCCATCCCAAGTGTTTACATTAAATGTGTTTACATTTTAATGATGTATCTATCCATTAATATCCTACTCCAATGACGTATCATGGTCTAGGAGTGACTTGCGGTTGTTAAAATCTATGCCAATGCAGTGAAAGTTCTGGGAGATCCACTGAGCTGGAAGAACTTCAAGTAGAGGTCCGATGATGGACAGGAA